TAATAATCCGAGCAGTTCCAATAGGGTCTTCGCACCCTTTTGGGTGCTCGGACCCTAATTATTAAAACATGTCTGGGCCACTTTTTTTCCCCCTATTAGACAGAACATATACTGTGATGTTATGGTCGTTCTTTTCTTCCGACAGTCAGGCATTAATCAATTTTACTGTTATGGCCCATCCACACTAATAACTATAAGATCACTATAAAGATGTGTGCGCCCACACTGACCAACGTTAACATTCTGTAAACATCGGCGCTGTGTATAAGCTCCGTATTCATTCAAATAGAAAAGACAAGAAATATATCCAGGTAGAAAGAAGCTGTTCTGAGATCGCTCTGAAAGTGATTCCAACGAATATCATTCATAGCTATTATCGTTTATTTGTGAATAAATATAAGTGCTATTACTGTGTTTGGGCTACATGCTTGTCGTTACTTTATTCAGACATCAAAATTGCTATCCCGATACCAGCACAGCGAATGAACAGTCGGCCATGCGGGTCCAGTCCTATTTAACAGTAGCACATTTGTCAGTATTTCAATCTGTTTATTTTAGTTTATTAATACAAAAACACAACCCTAGCTGTAAACCCCAAGACAAACTACATATTTCGTGGCATGTCCAATCACGTTGTATTGTAACACTACTGGAAGTTGTAGTTCTTTCTTCAAAATAGCCGTTTCTCCTAAATGGACGGTGAAATATAAAACTTTAAGTGCATTAAGGGATTTAAAATGTTGGGGAACACGTTTTTTGGGCTGAATTTACAAATGAAATTGATATATATCAGTAAAACCTGATTACAGACAAATTGTGAGACGACTTTTGTAGATTCCAGTTCGCACTGACAACTTCTTTAACATATTGACAAATCTCACTTCGGACGAACGGACTGAGATACAGACAGACAACTCTCCATACGCATGGACAAATAGTTTTGCTACAATTATGCCCCCATACATATTCACTTCATGTGAAAAGCAGTTGAGACTGAAAGGACAGAAGCTATTGCATTGTGCTGTCATGCCAAGGAGTGATGCCAAAAGCTGTCATGTTAAAGCCTCATTGCTCAGTTTATGAACATCTACAGCTGCTTTCATCTGAATCAAACTGTCAAAATGTGCTAATACACAGACCTTGATGTGAGTGGTGTTTGCTGTAACCAATAACTGAACCAAACCGTCCTCAGCCCTGAGATTTAGACAGTATCATGGCAGGGTTTCTTGTATTTAAGCTGTATGTGTCTGACACGTTTAAACTATAATTATCATAGTTTATGAATGGGTTTTATACATTAAATAAAGAAATTCTGTGTTTTGCGTTTATCCTGGGGCTGTAGTCACTTTTTGCCAATTGGAAAATTGCATTGTACAAATTAATTCTTTACAGCTAATTCTAACCAGTTAAAGTCCTGGTTCGGTGTAATCCGGAGGTCAGGACACGTTCATGAGAATAGACGGTCCAGCGGACGGTCAAGAACTTCTGGCGGATGCTCACTTTTTGGCACAACAGCAGCGTTTCCACTCCACGGCAGTCCACGGCGCTGCTGGGATTACATCATCCCCGTGCCCTTGAGCCCCACAGAACACGGAGCGTTGCATCATTCTCACCTCGATGATCTTGATGAAGCGGGGGAACACCGGGTTCCTGCTCACAGCGATCAGCGGCACGTTGGGGAACACCTCCGGAACCATCATGGGGGTGAGAGCCGTCATCTGAGCTCCGTTGTAAGGCACTCCTCCCCCGTCTCCCCCAGACTCCTCTCCCCCCGAGCCGGAGCTGTCCGCGCCGTCCTCCCCAGAGAAGCCCGCACCGCTAGCCCGGTTCCCGTACAATCTGACTGGGACACGGTGGGGTCCAGAGGTCGGTGTGAGGAGAACGGTGCGGACGCGAGGAACGGCTCCAGCCCGCATCCAGCGGTGAGCTGCGCTCAGCCGGCAGCCAGCTGTCATGGCTCCGCTCAGCGAGGTGCTGGGGGGGGCACCGGCGCTGCTGTAGGACCGCCGGGGCTGAAGCCGGCTAAGAGCGGAAGGGTCGGTCCGGTGGGCGACAACTCCGGGCCAGTTGGGTTTTCCAACCAGAGCCGAACTTCTGTGGAGCTGTCTGGCAGCGCTCATCATCTTCATGCAGGTCGCCATGTTAATCTGGAGAGTTCTATAGCAGCACGTGACCCACCTGCTTCCGTCAACGTTTGATGACGCGACATTTTAAAGCCACTTCATTCGTTCATTCAGCCTTTACTTAAACTCTGAAGATATTGACTGATGGCAGCCTCATTCACAGTGTAGCCCAGTAAGAAAATAAAATATGTAGGAGCACAAATAAACCTAGATAACAATAACAATATTAAAAGGCAAAGTTAGAAAATGAATACATTGATTACAAAAAAAGAGGACCCCCAACCTCAACATACAGTTCTCTGTAATTTGTATTATAACTATGGCTGGCAATAACTACAAAATTAGTCAAAATGTCCCCATAATCCTGCTCTGAAGGCCCATAAAGCATTTTCACATTTTAATATTATTTAGTATTTTGCAACTACCATATTCTCTGAATTATTCTTTTTTTCCCTAACACTCATAATGAGCAGATGAATGATCCTCGGTCGGGCTGCAAGGTGGCGCAGTTGGTTAGCACTGTTACCTCGCAGCAAGAAGGTTGCCGGTTCGCGTGGGTTCTCTCCGGGTTCTCCGGCTTCCTCCCACACAGTCCAAAAACATGTTGAGGTTAATTGCTGATTCTAAATTGTCCGTAGGTGTGAATGTGAGTGTGCTTGGTTGTCTGTCTCTAAGTATAGCCCTGTGGTGGACTGGCGACCTGTCCAGACTGTCCCCTGCCTTCGCCCGAAGTCAGCTGGGATAGGCTCCAGCCCCCCCGAGACCCTAGTGAGGATTAAGCGGTGTATGGATAATGGATGGATGATCCTCGGTCTACCTGGAGGTGGTCTCGAGAGCATCTTAACATTGTCCCAAAATACATTTACTTAAACGCAATTTTTTTACCCTACCCAACATGCATCCATAGTTCAATTCAATTTAATTAAATTTTATTTGTATCGCGCATTTTACAACATATGTCATCACATAGCGCTTCCCCAAGAATGACTATCACCTGTTTCTTGCATCCTGTCCCATGCTGCATTGCCTCATGATGTGAGTGTCAGCCCTGCAGACAATCCTTGTTTCATGTACATCTTGTCTCTTAAACTTTGTGGCTTGCAGAATGTCTTCTAACAAGCCTAGTGATGCATGGAGGGTTCACAGAACAACCTTATTAAAGTTGTCTTAAGGCAGGTCACACTTGGACCTTCCTCACAACAAATGATTTTCAACCTTCTGATTAGTTACCATAATTGTATTTGGCTTATGTGATCATGTTTCCACATGCACATTAAACATATGTGAACACATGTTTCAAATGGCCTGAATTGTCATTCACAGTCATATTTTATAAGAAGCCGAAGCGATTCTGTTAAGCTCAGCAGACCAAGTCTTCGGCACTGTGGTTATATCAGTAGGCTGGTTCAAGATGAACTGGAAAGTGGAAAGGGGACAGCAGCCTTAGACCTGATCCTAATTTATGAAAATGATGTCAGACAGCTATTAGTCTGCATGCAGTCTCAGTAGTTTGATTATGGCAGGATAGTCTTTTGAAATGCTATAAAGGAGATCTGTGATCTCTGTTCATGGTTCAACCTCTGCTGCGATATTCTTTCTGTGGTAGTGTGGGTACAGGCGGGCTGTACCCCTCTCCTGCATACTTCATACCCCATCCAACATATATGTTTTCAAACTTCCTGAATTAAGAGACAGCATGTGGTTGTTTGTGAAATGAACAGTAGGATCCCGTGAGAAGTCAAACCAAGCAGTCAGCCTGCTCTGATCGTTTCACTTACAAATGCCCCTGGCATTGTCATTGTCCTGGTTTTTCTCCCCCTTGTTCTCTCTCTCAAACATTTCTAATAGGCTAGCTACCCACAACTTTTGTTTTTTGATATGTTTTTTGTTATGTTTATTCTCTTTGAGGGAGCTGTAACACCACTTTTTCTTCTCTTTTTTGCACTCTCTTTGGAATATTTTTAATAGACTAGCTTGCCTGCCGACAACATTGCTTTGACTGGTATTTTGGTCTTTGTTTGTATGTTTCCTCTGAGAGAAATGTAGAGAGGTGAATTTTAAGTTTAAATACGTTCTGATCTGCTGCAATAGCCAGCCATAGTTGCATCAACTCCCAACCCAGAGGGTTTCTGAGTAGGTGCAATTATTGCTTATTTTATTTATTTTTTTCCTTTTCCTTTCTTTTCTTATATGTCGACTGATGTCAATTTGTATTCTTTCTGTCAATGCCAGGGGTATCAAAAATCAATTGAAGAGGAAATGTCTTTTTTTATATTGCTAGAATAAAGGAGCAGACTTTTATTTTGTTCAAGAAACTCATGCTGCACAAACAGATATGACATATTGGAGGAGTCAGTGGGGTAAGGATATATGGCTGTCTTATGGTAACAATAGATCAGCAGAGGTAACGATTTTGCTCGGTAAATTTAAAGACCATGTAATTAATCATTTTGCAGATACAAATGGAAGATGGATAAGTCTCTTAACAGAACATGACCATTTTCAATTCATTCTTTTAAATACATATGCTTTCAATAACAAGCAATTGAACATGACGTTGTTCTCAACACTGGAAAACAAGATTTCACAACTGCTATCAGCTTTTCCCTCAGCTAAAGTTCTATAGGGTGGGGATTTTAACACAGTGATGGATGAAAGCATAGATAGATGGCCTCCCAGAGAGAAACAAATAAATGAATTAGAAAATGTTTGTGACAGGATAAGTTTGATTGACATCTGGAGACACAGGAACTTAGATAAAAAAGCATATACATGGAGCAATAAAGATGGATCTCTTCGATCACTAATAGATTTCTGGTTAATCTCATCAGATATTGAAAACAAAGTGGATTTGGTTACAATAGAGCCAACAGTTCTTACAGATCACAAAAGTGTAACAATTAGGATTAATATGAGAATAAGGAATCATAACTCCAGCAGTGAATACTGGAAACTAAATGAAACCCTTCTACATGACAAAGACTTAAAAAAAAAAAAAAAAAAAAAAAAAAAAAAGCCCAAGAAGTCATAGACAAATACTGGAGACAAGCAAAGATTTATTTTTTTTTTAAATTTTGGACAATGCTGGGAGCTAATGAAATTTGAAATCAGGAACCTGGCTATATTAGTAAGTAAAAAGCTCTCGAAAAGGAATAAAGAAAAAGAATTTCAAATTGTTGGAAAAATTATGAGTTTATCAGGTAGAGTAAATCTGTCAGAGGAAGAGGTGATAGAACTGACAACTGCACAAGCAGAACTTGATAAAGCATACGAAGATAAGGCCAGAGGTGCTTTTGTCAGATCCCGAAGAAAGTGGCTAGAACAAGGTGAGAAATGCACAAAATACTTTTTTAATTTAGAAAAAAGAAATTTTGAACAATCTTCAAAACAAAGTTTGATGAATGGTTTTAAAATTTAGTTCTGGTAATGCTTGATAACGTTAAAGTATATTATGATTAGAATATCCCCCAAAAGTAGACCATTTGTATTCCTGTAAATGGTTGTGCCTGATGTTACTCATATTCTAATTTCTGATTTAAATAAAAGGTCATTTGCAGACTGCACCCCCCCACCAAAAATTTTCACCAGCTGCCACTGTACACCTGCCAGTAATTACAATTACATCCTGCCTTTCACAGCAATCTAGTAAGAAATCAACCAGTAAGCCACCACACTGATGCCCTACTTAATCTCAGTGCTAATCACTGTGGAGCAGAGGTGTCAAACATATGGCCCGCGAACGGGATTAATCCGGCCCGCAAGATGATTTTGCAAAGTATAAAAATGAGCTGTAATTTTTTCCATGAAACAAACTGCTGTTCTAAATGTGTCCACTGGATGTCGCAATTGCAATTTTGTTAAGCAAGCAAACTGTTTATACCACGGCTGAGCAAGTACGCTAAGCAAGTACAGCTAATCTGGAGCTACCTTGTGTTGTTCCTGCGCTTTTACATCTTCTACTTTGGACATATCGTACTTTGGCACCCTCAATACCCCAAGATGTCTCCATCAAAAAAGAGACAAGTGGACGCAGAGTGTTTCAGGAAAGATGGTCATCCTCCTATTTATTCACGGAAGTGAATGGGAAAGCTATGTGTTTGGTGTGTTCACAGCATGTTTCAGTGCTGAAAGAATACAACCTTCGTCACCACTATGAGACTCTTCATGCCAACAAATACAACAACTTTCAAGGACAACAGAGAAGAGAGAAGGTGAATGAATTGTTGGCGGTTCTGAAGAAACAGCAGTTTACTCATAGCCGAGAAGTCAGTGAAAGTTAGCTACCTTATTGCTAATGAAACTGCAGTTGCCTCAAAACCATTCAGTGAAGGTGAATTTGTGAAAACATGCATGCTGAAGGCTGCGGAGATTGTGTGCCCTGAAAAGTGCCAGATGTTTGCAAATATCAGCCTGACAAGAAACACAGTTGCAGACAGGATTTCTGATCTTTCGGTGGATTTGGACTGCCAGTTGAAGCGCAAAGTAAAGTCATTCATTGCTTTTTCAGTTGCAATCGATGAAAGCACAGACATTACTGATGTTGCGCAACTGGCCATATTCATCTGCAGAGTTCATGGCACTTTGACCGTCATCGAGGAGTTTGTGGAGTTTGTGCCAATGACGGACACCACAACAGCAGCTGATATTTTCAGCGTGCTGGACAGGCTCGGAGTGGACTGGTCCCGCGCTGTCAGCCTGACTACAGATAGTGCGCCCTCAGTGATCGGGAGGAAAGCAGGTGTTGTGACAAAGTTCAGAGAAAAAGTGCAGACTGCAAATGGAGGACGGGATTTTTGGACTTTTCGCTGTATTTTGCATCAGGAGGCTTTGCGTTGCAAGGCATTAAAGATAGATAATGTCATGAAGGTGGTTGTCCAAACTGTTAATCCAGAGGCCTGAATCATTGTCAGTTTGACAGCCCTCTCAGAGAGAAAGATCACAACTATGGCCTGCCGTACCACACTGAGGTAAGATCGTTAAGCCGAGGTGCTGTGCTGAGCCATTTTTTTGATCTTCGT